CTATCTGGGTGGTTTACACCTGCTTTGGTGATGAATCCGCGCCATAGCTTTCAATGCGCGAGCGGCGCCTCCCAGGTCGATGGAGAGGAATGCCTCGTCGAACGCCTGCACGCGGTTGGTTGTGAGGAAAAGGATGCCGCGATAGTACTCGGTGTGGTGCAAACCAAAATGATCCATGAAAATTGCAGCGAGGTGGCAGATGTGGATGAATTACAAAACGGCGACCACATTACTTACGGTGAAATATTATTTCAAGTAGGGTCATTCAGCACTTCAGCCCACGGCTATCAAGTCATTCCATCGGCAATCCAATCTTTACTCCACTCTTACCATCCATCATCTCCGTCGAAGTCCGCCGTTAGGCCCCAATTAGGCCCCCTGCGCCACTCTGTCCAAAAAGTGCCACACGGAGCTGAAAATCTGGTGAACGAGATATTTCATCCTCGTCGAAACAAAATTGTCTTGATCTAGTACGGGGCCACGAATTCTCAACTTTCCGCCTGATTCCACCTGGGTCCAACCAAGGAACCTGCCAAGTCTAAAGAGAAGTACGTTGGCGTCAGTGGGACTACGCTCATAACCATCCTGTCTAGCGAAAGTAATTCTGTTGATAGACACAACAGTTTCTAGACAGACGGTCATCTGTCTGTCTGGTCACCGAATCAGGACGATTGAAGATATGACTGGAAGATTAACGCCCCAAAAAACTGATACAGCTGTACATGGCTCGCGTCGATTGTCATGTTTGATTCACAATTGCGAAATCTCGCCGGACAGTGAAGAAGACATGCGCGTCAAACAATTTATGTAAAGTTCAACTTCAGAGTAACTTCATCAGTCAAATACTCAGTCTCCCTTGGTCCATGATTGCTCTCACAGACTGGTATCATGCCTATGTGAGTCTGTCGCCTCCTCCTCGGTTTCAGCCCTTACGTCATGACCTCAATAAAGATCACTATGCTCGCGCCGCTCTAAACAGAACAGTTCAATTGAACTTTCTGGTATGGTAAAGAAGCAGCATCAAGGCTGCCATTTCACTGCCCAGAATCAATTCTGACACGTCAAACAACTGATAAACACGTCGAAGACTCCTCAAAACTGGTGCAGAAGCTATGTTGGAAAGGCTACAAGGTGAATAGACCCGTCTGACAAGATTTATCTGTTACACAGATGTTGTGAACCCTATAAGCACAATCTAAGAGCCGGCCATCAAAAATGGGCGGTCGGTAGGTAGAATTTCAAAGCACGGTCGCGGATATGCTGGTCGACACCATTGATAATAACGTGTTCGATAGCCAAAATTTGAGATACTACCGTGAGTCCATTGCTATTCCGGCTGGACGGAATAGTGGAATGAATCGGCTTCAGTAGGCAAACTCATCTCCAACACGGCAGTCGCGCGTTGAACTCGTACATCGCGAAGTCATAATGCTTCTTATCGCCATCCGGTCCAGAGGTTTGGTTACCTTCCGACTAAATACAGCGGGGATAGGGAGGTCGCACCAATCTCTTTAGAATCTACTCGATTTCATGCCGGATTCTCGGGGACTTAGACATCAAAACAGAGGTCCACCTTTATTGATGCAAGAGCCAAAATCTGCGGTTCCCAGTCATCTCAAAAATAACTCTGGGACAAAGGCTTGCAAATCATGACAGTCTCACCATTGTAGAGAGCTCAAAAGGCAATGAGGTGTTTGGAAGCTTTGCGATGTTTGATCCCATGTCCAACATCATCCTTTCCCGAGCCAGCCTTATCCCCCTCGACAATACGCTTGGGGCATGGTTCATTGGACTCATCGTGTCTTCAGTGTAAGCCAGTCGTTAAAATCTCCGGATCGACTGTCAATTTTACTTTAGGTTGTTCGGAGTGACTTCCCTTCAAGTGTATCTCTACTTCACGAAACATTGCTCGCGCGATGCAGTTTTCTTAAAATCCTTTGTACGTACCAAAAAACACACTACCATTCACCCATTTAGTGGGCGTACTCACTCAAGGTGGCACTTCTCATGGCATTGGACACCTTGCATCTGGCCTTACTTTCTCATTCATTCTATTCTACAACGGTCACCAATTTCGGTGACTACGTTGAATTAGGACAGGCGCCGTGGTGAGTATATCCGTTCATAGAAGGGCCCTAATGGTGAAGTACTACACAGGAGTCTCCTTGTAAGCACTATGCGTGACCCTGTGTTTTCTTTATCTGACGCACCCGTACTGCAAAAAGGTTGAAGTCGTCGTTGGAGGTATGAATGTATCAGGGCGGATGGTCACGCACTTCCTTAACTTTCTGCTAGTTTTTTTGGCCACCCTGGTGCAGTTCTTCTATGCCTACCGGATCTACACCATCTCCAACAAATCTCTTGTGTTCCCGGTAATAATCGTGGGTTGCCTCAAACATAAGAATGTGTCCCAAATTAATGTGGCCGCAGGGAATCTGCTCGCTTGCCCAGTTGGGTGTGTGGCCCCTAGCTCTGAATTTTCATCAATTGCTCATAGATGAACAATTACTAGCCCTCGGGATCGCTTACACGCACAAAGCGTGAGTTATCCCGCGCACCAAAAACTACAGGCTGAACAGCGATCCAAAGTTTCCAGGTCAAGTTCTTCAAAGATGCAAAGGCTGACGTCGTACGTTGTCGTTACTCAATGTGAACATTGACTTGATTTTCCTAGCCCTACTCCACCAGCGGTCTTGCGTTCGAAGTGGCCTGTGATGTTCTCATTGCCGGTGCCATGATATACCATTTGTTGCGAAACAAAAGTGGCTTCCAGAAGTAGCGCCTTTTCTATATATATTTTCCCGCATAATACTGATATCGTGCGCCAATCTAGGACGAACAAGGCAATACATCTCCTCGCCGCGTACTCACTGAACAGTGGCGCATTGACGAGTGTGTTCGCAATTTGCGACCTTGTGACAGTAAGCTCATTTCCTGCAACACTTCATTTTTATTGACATCACCTACAGTTTATTGTTTTACCTTCGACTTTAGTATATGCTCCGTAAGCTCCGTGTTGTGATTCATGACCGTCAATATTAAATAATTTCAGGTTCTTCTTCATCCTCGTTCGATGTAGGTCTCTCAAAAACGTTTTTGTTTGCCCTCACACCGTTCTCTTAGTCTATGGATTGAGCTTCATGTCGATGTACGGTCATTCCACAATTCCACCTATGAACTTACCGAAGCTCTGTCAATAGTCTCAATTCCCGTGACCACGTCAGGGAGGAACTGTTTTCAACCAGCCACGCTATGATCACGATTCCTTCGTACAATGCCAACTTGAACCCAACCTCAACTGCAAACACCGAGAATGGAACAAATTTTGGGATGACGGGGAAAGAGGGGTCGCATGGATTTTGACTTTGGTCTCGCGAAGATAGTTTTTCGCCATTATCTATTTAAATTATTGTTTCCCTGGCTGTGCTTTACACTCAAATGATCAGTTTGGTCGCTCAGGCGTAGCATCAGCAAGGATGGCTGGGATATCCGCAGACTCCTGCTCTGAGAATGTTGAACTTCCAGCGAGCAGCCTTCGATAAGGAAGTAAATTGTCTGGGCAGCTGAGTAGCATATAACAATTGGCCGACCTATGGGCAATTCTTTGAGAACATCCCAAATGGGAATTTTTTTTGGCCGCACCCAAGTTGGTACTGCTATACTGTAAAGAGATAGCAGAAGATCCACCAGGAAATAATTTTAGGTCTGTGACATTAATGCTTAATGAGTGGGCGAACAGTCAACCTATATCAAATACAGGTACTTGCTGTATATGCGTAATCACTAGATTTAAAGTTACCTCTACTTCCTTCTCGCAGTAAGTCAGAAAATTAGATTAAACTGCAAAAGAATTGAAGCCGGAACACTGTGGACGCGAGGAGCCGAACCCCAGCAGCTGCATCAAATATTCGCCCTACCAACTACCTATTGACTCTATAGCGGTGCACCGTGCACCACGTCCGGCTCTTGCCTTTATTTCTTCTCGCAGTAAGTAATTCTGAACTGTGATAGAAAGAAAGTCGAGACTACGGGCCGAATGCGGACGGGGAGTCGAACCCCAACGCCTCCTTCAATGGCATTCGATTTATGCTAATGAAAGGAGAAGTGCTCTGTGCACCACGTCTGCTTTCTTTTCTACCTCCTTCGTGGGGGAAGATTGATAAAATTGAGTTGAACTGTGATAGAAAAAGAAGTCGAGAAAACAGCCAGATTGCGGACGCGGGGAGTCGAACCCCAACGCCTCCTTCAATGTAATTGATTCATGCCAAAGAAAGGAGAAGTGCACCATGCACCACGTATACTTTAAACCTTTACTTTGTTCTTGCTGTAAGTGAGAGATTTTGAATTGAACTGCGAAAAATAATACAGACCTGCGGACGCAGGGAGTCGAACCCCAACAGCTGCATCAAATATAACTTCGGGCCAACATATTTAGTACAGCGGTGCACCGTGCACCACGTCCGCTGTACACCATCTTTCATTCTCGCGGTAAGTTAAATAAAATTAGTTCAACTGTGAGAAAAAAGAATGGAGAATATTCAGCCATGCGGACGTGGAGAGTCGAACCCAACAGCCCCACAAATGCCGTAGGAATCTTTGACATCGAGTAGACTCGTTACCAGTCTGCTACGGCAATTCTTTAGTGCGGGCACTGCTACGGCATAGTGCTTGCACTAAGTGTTGCCGTAGCAGGCAGACTGGTTACGAGTCTAGACATCGAGTACAGCCGTGCACTGCGCACCACGTCCGCTTCCTACCTCTACTTCCTCCATCTTGTAAGTCAGATAAAATTCATAGAACTGTAAGCAAAAAGAATGGACAAACAGGCGGAATGTTGACGCGGGGAGTCGAACCCCATCGCCTCCCTCGACTGCATAGTCCTTGAATGGATGAAGAGGGGTGCACCGTGCACCATGTCCGCTTTCCCTCTTCCTTTGTTCTCGTGGTAAGTCATATGAAATTGAGTGAACTGTGAAAAAAAAGTTGAAGAGGTTGAAGAATGCGGACGCGGGGAGTCGAACCCCAGCAGCTGCATCAAATGGATAGCAGCAGATTTATTAAGTGCAGCGATACACCGTGCACCACGTCCGCTTTAAACCTTCACTTCCTTCGCGTGGAAAGTGTGATAGAATTTTGTTCAATTTTGGTACCACATTATTAAAGCAGGTCGATGTCCTTGAACGTCGGGACGTCGACAGGCATCGCCGCCAGGTCGCCTGCACGCGGTTGGTTGTGAGGAAAAAGATGCCGCGATAGTACTCGGCGTGGTGCAAACCAAAATGATCCATGAAAATTGCAGCGAGGTGGTAGATGTGGGTGAATTACAAAACGGCGACCACATTGCCGTGAAATACTATTTTAAGTAGGATCATTCAGCGCTTCAGCCCACGGCCATCAAGTCATTCCATCGGCAATCCAATCTTTACTCCACTCTTACCATCCATCATCTCCGTCGAAGTCCGCCGTTAGGCCCCAATTAGGCCCCCTGCGCCACTCTGTCCAAAAAGTGCCACACGGAGCTGAAAATCTGGTGAACGAGATATTTCATCCTCGTCAATTTGGTCGAAACAAAATTGTCTTGATCTAGTACGGGGCCACGAATTCTCAACTTTCCACCTGATTCCACCTGGGTCCAACCAAGGAACCTGCCAAGTCTAAAGAGAAGTACGTTGGCGTCAATGGGACTACGCTCATAACCATCCTGTCTAGCGAAAGTAATTCTGTTGATAGACACAACAGTTTCTAGACAGACGGTCATCTGTCTGTCTGGTCACCGAATCAGGACGATTGAAGATATGACTGGAAGATTAACGCCCCAAAAAACTGATACAGCTGTACATGGCTCGCGTCGATTGTCATGTTTGATTCCACAATTGCAAAATCTCGCCGGACAGTGAAGAAGACATGCGCGTCAAACAATTTATGTAAAGTTCAACTTCAGAGTAACTTCATCAGTCAAATACTCAGTCTCCCTTGGTCCATGATTGCTCTCACAGACTGGTATCATGCCTATGTGAGTCTGTCGCTCCTCCTCGGTTTCAGCCCTTACGTCATGACCTCAATAAAGATCACTATGCTCGCGCCGCTCTAAACAGAACAGTTCAGTTGAATTTTCTGGTATGGGTAAAGAAGCAGCATCAAGGCTGCCATTTCACTGCCCAGAATCAATTCTGACACGTCAAACAACTGATAAACACGTCGAAGACTACTCAAAACTGGTGCAGAAGCTATGTTGGAAAGGCTACAAGGTGAATTGACCCGTCTGACAAGTTTATCTGTTACACAGATGTTGTGAACCCTAAAAGCATAAGAGCCGGCCATCAAAAATGGGCGGCCGGAAGGTAGAATTTCAAAGCACGGTCGCGAATGTGCTGGTCGACACCACTGATATTAACGTGTTCGATAGCCAAAATTTGAGGGATACTATCCTGAGTCCATTTTTATTCCCGCTGGACGGAATAGTGGAATGAATCGGCTCTAGTAGCCAAACTCATCTCCAACACGGCATTCGCGCGTTGAATCGTACATCGCGAAGTCATAATGCTTCTTATCGCCATCCGGTCCAGAGGTTTTGTTTCCTTCCGACTAAAGACATCGGGGATAGGGAGGTCTCACTAATCTCTTTAGAATCTACTCGATTTCACGCGGGATTCTCGAGGACTTAGACATCAAAACAGAGGTCCACCTTTATTGATGCAAGAGCCAAAATCTGCGGTTCCCAGTCATCTCAAAAATAACTCTGGGACAAAGGCTTGCAAATCATGACAGTCTCACCATTGTAGAGAGCTCAAAAGGCAATGAGGTGTTTGGAAGCTTTGCAATGTTTGATCCCATGTCCAACATCATCCTTTCCCGAGCCAGCCTTATCCCCCTCGACAATACGCTTGGGGCCTGGTTCATTGGACTCATCGTGTCTTCAGTGTAAGCCAGTCGTTCAAATCTCCGGATCGACTGTCAATTTTACTTTAGGTTGTTCGGAGTGACTTCCCTTCAAGTGTATCTCTACTTCACGAAACATTGCTCGCGCGACGCGGTTTTCTTGAAAACCTTTGTACGTGACCAAGACACACTACCAGTCAATTCACCCACTTAGAAGGCTTACTCAATCAAGGTGGCACTTCTCATGGCATTGGACACCTTGCATCTGGCCTTAGTTTCTCATTCACTCTATTCTACAACAGTCACCAATTTCGGTGACTATGTTGAATTAGTACAGGCGCCGTGGTGAGTATATCCGTTCATAGAAGGGTTCCTAATGGTGAACTATTACACAGGAGTCTCCTCGTAAGCACTATGCGTGACGCTGCATTTTTTTTTTATCCGACGCATTAAAGGCTCAAGTCTTCGTTGGAGGTATGAATGTATCAGCGCGGATGGTCACGCACTTCCTTAACTTTCTGCTAGTTCTTTTGGCCACCCTGGTGCAGTTCTTCTATGCCTACCGCATCTACACCATCTCCAACAAAACTCTTGTGTTCCCGGTAATAATCGTGGGTTGTCTCAAACACAAGAATGTGTCCCAAATTAATGTGGCCGCAGGGAATCTGCTCGCTTACCCAGTTCGGTGTGTGGCCCCTACCTCTGAATTTTTATCAATTGCTCATAGACGAACACTTCGTAGCCCTTGGGATCGCTTACATGCACAAAGCGTGAGTTATCCCGCGAGCCAAAAAAATTAGAGGCTCAACAGCGATACAGTTTCCAGGTCAGGTTCTTCAAAGATGCAAAGGCTGACCTCGTACGTCGTCGTTACTCGATGTGAACATGGAGTTGATTTTCCTAGCCCTACTCCAACAGCGGTCTTGCGTTCGAAGCGGGCTGTGATGTTCTCATTGCCGGTGCCATGATATATCATTTGTTGCGAAACAAAACTGGCTTCCAGAAGTACCCCCTTTTTTATCGTTTTTATCCGCATATTGCTGATATAGTGCGCCAAATCTAGGACGAACAAGGCAATAAATCTCCTCGTCGCGTACTCCCTGAACAGTGGCGCACTGACGAGCGTGTTCGCAATTTGCGACCTTGCGACAGTAAACTCATTCCCTACAACACGTCATCCGTTATTTACACCAATACAGCAGGCTGCTTTGCCCTCGACTTTGATATATGCTCCGTACGCTCCGTGCTGCGATTCATGACTGTCAATAATTAAATAATTTCAGATTCTTCTTCATCCTCGTTCGACGTAGGTGTCTCAAAAACTTTTTTGTACGCTCACTCACACTGTTCGCTTAGTCTATGGATTGAGTTTCATGTCCATGTACGGTCGTTCCACAATTCCACCATTAACTTACCGAGTTCTGTCATTAGTCTCAATTCCCGTGACATGTCAGGGAGGAGCTGTTTTCAACCAGCCACGCTATGATCACGATTCCTTCGTACAATGCCAACCCAACTTCAACTGCAAACACTGAGAATGGAACAAATTTTGGGATGACGGGGAAAGAGGGGTCGCATGGATTTTGACTTTGGTCTCGCGAAGAAAGTTTTTCGCCATTATCTATTTAAATTATTGTTTCCCTGGCCGTGCTTTACACTCAAATGATCAGTTTGGTCGCTCAGGCGTAGCGTCAGCAAGGATGTCTGGATATCCGCAGACTCCTGCTCTGAGAATGTTGAACTTCCAGTGAGCAGCTTTCGATAAGGAAGTAAATTGTCTGGGCAGCTGAGTAGCACACAACAATTGGCAGACCTATGGGCAATTCTTTGAGAACATCCCAAATGGGAGTTTTTTTGGCCGCGCCCAAGTCGGTACTGCTATACTGTAAACAGATAGCTGAAGCTCCACCAGGAAATAATTTTAGGTCTGTGACATCAATGTTTAATGAGTGGGCGAACAGTCAACCTATATCAAATACAGGTACTTGCTGTATATGCGCGATCACTAAATTTAAATTTAAATTTTACACCTCTACCTCCTTCTCGCGGTAAGTTAGAAAAATAGATTACAGTAAACTGCAAAATAATTGAAGCTGGAACAATGTGGACGCGAGGAGTCGAACCCCAGCAGCTGCATCAAATATTCGCCCTGCCAAAAAAGAGATGATCGAACAATGCGGACGTAGGGGAGTCGAACCCAACAGCTGCATCAAATCTGTTGTTAAATGGATAGCAAGTATTGAGTGCAGCGGTGCACCATGCACCTCGTCCGCTTCTTACCCTTTCTTGCTGCTCTTGTAAGCCAGATAAAATTGAAGAACTGCGATAGAAAAAAACTCCGAAGAGATAGCACAATGCGGACACGGGGAGTCGAACCCCGACACCTCCTTTGACTCTATATTACTCCCAAAGAATAGAGGGGTGCACTGTGCACCACGTCTGCTTTAACCTCTACTTCCTTTGCGTGTAAGTGCGATAAAATTGGGTGAACTACGAGACAAAAAGTTTCAAAATACTCTTTTGTCTCAATAATGCGGACGCGGGGAGTCGAACCCCACAGCTGCAGCTGCAGCGGTGCACCATGCACCACGTCCGCTGTACACCTATACTTCCTTCTCGAAGTAAGTCAGATTAAATTAATTGAACTATGTCAAAAAAGTTGAAGTCGGAGAATGCAGACGTGGGGAGTCGAACCCCAACAGCTGCATCAAATCTGTTGAACGAATAGCGCCGATTGAGTGCAGCGGTGCACCGCGCACCACGTCCGCTGTATACCTCTACCTCCTTCTCGAAGTAAGTCAGATTGAATTTATTGAACTGTGAGAAAAGAAGTGAACCTCCTCATGATCATGATATGCGGACACGGGGAGTCGAACCCAACAGCTGCATCAAATCCGCTCACCTAGCTGATTGAGTGCAACGGTGCAATGTGGACCACGTCCGCTTTCCTCTCTCATTCCTTCTCGTGGTAAATAAGATAAAATTCAATGAACTGCGAAAAAGGCATGAGCAACCAAGAATGCGGACGTGGGGAGTCGAACCCCAACACCTCCTTCAATGTGTAGCATTTAACACGAGAAGGAATACGAGGGAAAAGCGGAAGTGGGGCACGGCACACCCCTCTCCATTCATTGCAGAGAAGATAAAATTGATTGAACTGCGAGAAAAAGCAGTGAACCTCATCATATGCGGACACGGGGAGTCGAACCCCAACAGCTGCTTCAAAGATCTACACCTTCTCATGCAATACAACGGTGCACCATGCACTGCGTCCGTTTTCCCTTCCCATTCCTTCTTGTTGTAAGTGAGAAATTTTGAGTTGAGCTGTGAGAAAAAACGTTTGACATCTTCGACCCATGCGGACGCGGGGAGTCGAACCCCATCGCCTCCCTCAACTGAATAGTCGACGCCCTTGAATGGATGGAGAGGGGTGTACCGCGCACCACGTCTGCTTTCCCTTCCTATTTCTTCTCGCAGTAAGTGAGAAATTTTGAACTGCGATAGAAAAAAAGTCGAGACTACAAGCCAAATGCGGACGCGGGGAGTCGAACCCCAACAGCTGCATCAAATCTGTTGTTAAATGGATAGCAACTATTGAGTGCAGCACCATGCACCACGTCCGCTTCTTACCCTTTCTTGCTGCTCTTGTAAGCCAGATAAAATTGAAGAACTGCGATAGAAAAAAAAACTCCGAGGAAATGGCACTTGAATGCGGACGCGGGGAGTCGAACCCCAGCAACTGCATCAAAGAACCGGGGACACTCAAATATTGAATGCAGCGGCGCACCATGCACCACGTCCGCTTTCCCTTCTCATTCTTTCTCCTTGTAGATGACAAAAATTGAGTTGAACTATGAGAACAAAAATTTCAATATGCACAAAACATGCAGACACAGGGAGTCGAACCCTAACACCTCCCTTGATTATATATATTCCCTCCGAATTAATAGAGGGGTGCACCGTGCACCACGTCCGCCTCTTGCCTTTATTTCTTCTCGTGGTAAGTCGGATAAAATCGAGTGAACTATGAGAGAGAAAAATTCAGACAGCGGAATAATGCGGATCCGGGGAGTCGAACCCTAACAACTGCATCAAGTGAAACTGCGACACGACCTATTTAGTACAGTGGTGCACCGTGCACCACATCCGCCTTACACCTATACCTCCTTCTCTCACCAATTAAGATAAAATTCTGTTTTAGCTGTGAAAAAAAGACAACTCGCATTTATGGATGCGGACGCGGGGAGTCGAACCCCAGTAGCTGCATCTTAATCTGGAGTCGTGTATTGAATGCAGCGGTGCGCCGTGCACCACGTCCGCTTTCCTTCCTTGTTTTCAAGCCCACCAAGTACCATAGCTTTTTCTGCATATTGGGTATGCGTAATGAATAATGGGAGCCTGAGTAAAAGTTGCGACACCGCAGTCAGACCTTACTCTCTTTCATTTAAATTTGTTTTACGACAGGTCGGGGCCGTGGGGTTGAGACCTGGTCTTGAGGAAGAATGTCCAATTTGACAAGCAAGGCGATCACCGTGTCGTATTTACGTTCGAGGGGCCGTTACCTGAATTAATAAGACTCGAATGAATTGAACATTTGGGGCACCGATCCGCCAGGGCATGCCGTCTCACTTGCTTACCTATTCGCTCCACCGGCCAACCACCGTCACCTATTTATTCATCATCAATTCAATTCAAGTTCTAGTACTGAGAACGGACACGACGAGGATCCACGTACAGTACGTAATACGGCGATCTACCCTTTCACCGGGGCTCCCGCGAGCCAGGCTTTATCTCAGGCTTTCGAACGACGAAAGTTAGGTTGGGATTCGGGTTATGGCACCAGATTTGCAATTTTAAGCTCGGCGCCGCGCTAGGGCCGCGAGTGTAAGTCACAAAGAAGGGATGAATAATTGAATGCAAAGCTCGAATCCGGTAAGGTTCTGGGAAGTTCAAGTTGGAAGGAAGGCACAAAAGGCAGAAGGCGCCGCTGCTCGGCTCGGTGGGGATTCAGAGTCCACTGGACATCGACGGCGAGTTGATTACGCGTTGGGTCGCCGGGTCTGAGATTGGGTGGATTTTTCGTTGGCGTCGTTGCTAGTCGTTGGATTCAAAGGCTGTTCAAAGAAATGAGGAGGAAAGGCACCGGCCGCTGCGTAGATCACCGAGAGTGATCTCCGTCCGCGGATCAAAAAGCGCCAAATTAGGCTCCTCGGTCGCCCGATTAGGACACCAAGTAAGAATCGATTTTGTCTCGCTACTCCCACAACCACAGAACAGAACAGAATGGACTCGATGTACCCCGACTTTGACTACGAATACACTTCCCCAGCAAAAGCTGGCCGTTTGACCCCATCCCCTCGACGACCCTTTACTCGCACCGCGTATAACTATTGGAGGCAGCCTCGACCCCACCACGGGCATCTTCTACCGCACCCCGCGCGAAGAAGAGGCGTAGGAATACGACGCTCGCTACGACTGGGATGGGGTGGGCGTGGGTATGGGTACGGGCGTGAAGCTCGAGCCGCTCTCGAGCTGCGTCCCGCTGGGGCTGGGGCTGCCTTCGTCGACCACGGTACATGACTACGAGCGGAAGCCACCCTGGTACACCTCGCCGCTCAACGCACACCTCCTCCCCACCGGCGCCGCGAAGAGGTTCTTCCTCCCCGCGCTGCCGTCGTCGTTATCATTAGACACCCAGTCTTCCTCATACGGCTCCCCATCCCCGTCCCGGGTTACGACTACCCGCCTCCTCCACTCCGCGTACACAGACACCTCCGATTCGGGCTCAAGACGAGGGAGCTTCGAACGGCAGTACCCGCCCTTCTCGCAGGGTCTTAAAGGCGGGTATGAAGAAGAGCCGGCGGTGTACGGTGGGCACCCGCTCGAGTATCGCCTTGATATAGACATGGACACTCTTGAGCTCGACCGAATCGACCCAGACCACCACAGGGTGTTCCCCCTCGAGGCGGGGTACGCGCTCTCGTCTTCGCACCAGGCAAGGGGTGGCATTCCCCGGCTCTGGGGGCCACACGAGCGCACTCACGAAGTTAAAGGGATGCGCACAAACGGGCGCCCGCGCGCCGTCTCCGACGTCCTCACGCTCGAGCGGCGGGGCGGGGGCGGGGCTTGGGACGGTGTAGGCGAGCGCGCGCACCGCCCCGGCCCCGGGTCCGGGCTGGGTATCTCCCTTAACATGGGCTTGACGCGGGGGTTGAATGTTGGTGCGGGTGCGAGGAGTATGAGCGGTGGGAGCACGGGGAGTACGGATGATAGCGCGTGAGTGGAGTTTTTTTCCTTGGGTTTTCTCTTTCTTTTCTTGGGCGGGGTCGGAGAAAGGAAGGGAGAGGGAGGGGGGGATACACCGAGGCTCTTTCGTTCGTCGAGGGTCGAGGCGGCGTCCGCCCTGTGCACGACTCGTCCCGCCCCTCATCCCGCTCCCTCTGCGTCGGCGGCGTCCGGGTCGAGCTGCCGGCCGTTTGTGCATCCGTAGGCGGGAGGGGAACGTACATCTCACGGCGACTCGGAGCCCACAGCACTCGCGATCGGGGACCGATTGGGAAATGCTCCGTACAGTGTGGGTCGGCGGTCGGCGGGTCACCCTCGTCTTCCTCCTCCCGCTTCCTCCTTCCTTATCTTATGCGGCGGTGCATTTGGGCGATGAGGCGTTGTGTTCCCAGTCCGGAGCAATTGTCCATCGTACATTTGGCGGCGAGTCGACGCAGCGCTGACGCATTCACGGGGTGGGCGACGAGGATAAGAACAAGGACGCCGCACGCGGCTCCTTCAAGTTATGGCCCATGTGTGCCGGGCGCACAGCAGCTTGCTACGTATGGCCATGGGCGCTACGACACCA